ATCTGAGCCCTTACGTCGCCTGGCAAAGTCAGGAACCCCTTTCGTGTTCGGAGGTGAACAGAAGAAAGCCTTCCAGGAGCTAAAAGAGTGGTTGGCCTGTGCTGAGACTTTGGGGTACTTCGACAAAGATGCCCCAACTGAAGTAATTGCCGATGCCAGCCCAGTTGGACTGGGAGCGGTACTGACCCAAAAGCAGAATAATGGACCGAGAGTCATCTGCTATGCAAGTCGTAGTCTGACAGACACCGAGAGAAGATATTCGCAGACAGAGAAAGAGGCGCTGGCACTCGTATGGGCCTGCGAAAAGTTCCATCCCCATGTGTATGGTGTGCCATTTGATCTTGTTACAGATCACATGCCGCTGGAAGTTATTTACGGCCCAAGGTCAAAACCCTGCGGAAGCATTGAAAGATGGGTTTTACGAATGCAGCCATTCAAATTCAAGGTCAAATATGAGCCCGGGCCGAGCAACATGGCTGACCCCCTCGTAAGGCTAGTGGCAAATCTAATAACCAGCAGCACTCACTCAACTGAAGCCGAAGAATATGTCAGATTTGTAGCCATAAATGCGACCCCCTTTCCTATGACTACGCGAGAAGTGGAAGAAGGCTCAGCAATCGATGAAGAACTCTGTGCAGTCAAGGAATGCTTAAACGGAAAACCGTGGGATCAGCTTGCTTAGTAGGCCTATCAAACCTCTAATTTTCACTTGTAACCTTAATTTGTTAACCGATTAAAACACACTTTCCTGCAATTAACTTTTTCGTTGCTTGCGGACACAAAGCTCGTCCAAATTCAGGAACAATAGATTAATTTGTCGAAAATTGAGAAGCTTGTTCGCTTCCTAGCGCCCTGCAGCTCACGTATTGTCAAGATTATCATACATGATTGGTTTGTTCGTTAGACCACAAACACAAAGGGAAAGGAATGTGGTTCGATTCTCAGCAGCCGTTTGTGGCGAGGAGCGTTGCGTGGCGACACTAAAAACGGCTGTGTAGCAGACTACCCGTCCACCTCTTTGGTGTTGCCCCTTCTACCTAAAGAAGCTTGCAATTTTCAAGGAGAGTGGTTCCTACAATTTAACATCTAATATAAGCTGCGAATTAAAGGTCCCGAAACAAAGTTCAAGACCCTTGGGGACAGGGCCTTCGCATGTGTTGGCTCCTCACTGTCAAACACTCTCCCTTCAGCAATCAGGAGTATCCGGAGCGTTCAAGGTTTCAAACAGCCTCTAAAGACCTTTTGATTTCGTTTGGCATTTGCCCAGTGAACCAATTCGTGTACAGTGATTGCGATGTTTTATTTTCATTTTCTCTGAGTGCACTGTCTGTTATATTTAGTGTGCTAGCATTTTCATCATATCCTGCTTTTGAATCAGCTCCTTTCGTCTCAACTCCAAATCCTCCTTTCTCAGCACACTCTCCCTTTCTGACTTTTCTTTCACAAATTGCACCACTTCCGACGTCGATCTTCTTCCTTTCTTCACCGTCTGGGTTTGTTCGTCTTGTTTCCCAACATTCCTTTTCTTGGTTTCACCCAAACGCTCAACCGCTCGGTTGCGGTGCTCCTCCGTTACTACTTTTTCAGCTTATTTGTTATCCTCTTGCAAGCTTCTCGCATCCGTGGCCGCCTTCTCTTTTTCTATGATTTCTTCTGACGCTTTGTCTAGCTTTGTTTCCTCACAGTCTATCCCAGAGGCAGCTTCTTCCATTCTCATTTTCGCTTTGTACTTTTGTTGAAGTAACGTCAGCCTGTCTCTGAGACTTCTCTCCGATACCTTAAACTTAAGATGACCCACCAGAGGCATTTAAATTGGCTGCTATGTCGTTACATAAATCTCCTCTTTCCTTACTACGGTAAGGATGTTTCCAAGGTTCAGCCACTAAAACCTCTTCTCAAAGATTCAAGTCGTGGAGATCTGTCCACTCCATTCTGAAGAAACCTGATACTCGGTCAGATCATTGTCTCAAATCTTACAAACGTGCATAAACTAAATACCCGCATAAGCTACACTCGGCTTCATTAAATTAGATATAGAAAAACAAACATCAAATACAATAATTACTCTGCCTTACCATTCGAGATGCAGCTCCTGAGAAGTGTCAAGTGAGGCCAGTATCGCTTCAGACTTTGCAACCCTCTAACGGATCAAGTAAGGTGAAAACGAAAACGATGCCATCCGAAATCGGATTTCCGACTTTGACAGAGGACGTATTTCTCAACCAAAAACCCAATAAACAAACTAGTCATGAATAACAGAAGACTTCTGATAGCAGCTGAATTTCATTTTGTACATCCAGTGGAAAAAGACAGTTAAAACATCACATGAGCTTTTAAGTTGACACAAAACTCTGTCAGCTTCAGCTGTCAAAGTAAACAAGATTCAAGATGCTGCATAAATTTTCCGCATGAACTCACCTGCCAAATTTTGACCAATCAGAGCATAAAAATTGAACGTAGAGCGTGACAACCGCGTGACCATGGTGAGAAAAGTCAAAAGCAACTTTCTTTCCTGCCGGTAACAGCTGGCTGAATTTTCACGTCCGAGGTCAGTTTGAAATCAAAATTTTAATTGTGCGGCACATAAACACAACATATTTCATATGAATTTAAAAAATACACTTGAGCCTGCGATCACTTGAAAACTAGTAACTTGTCAGCGGATAACTTCAAAAAATACTCGACTTCGATGGGTCGACACCTGAGCCCGCGATACGGTCAAGTGATACTGGTCAGCGGGTACTCTGTTTTGACAGCTGTCAATTGATCAAAACATTGATGTCCAATACGCGTGCATGATCAGTTTTCCTGTGCTCCCAAACTAGCTGGAACATATAAGATTGAACATTGTTCACGATCTAGTAAAATAATTAACTGGTCAGCGGACAGCTTTCAAATAAATCACGTCGCGTTGACCATATTCCACGAGTATTAGCCCCGCTAATAAAACAAACGAAACACATTTTTTTATCTTACAACTTTTCCATAAAAGAAAAACCTGTGAATATTCCTGGCGGGGGCTTCTCGATCTTGCTTGACGCTAAATCTATGCAAAAACCTTTTTACTCTCTTAGTATATCAGCGAAGATCTAAATGGGCATCCGCTTGCCAGCGTGAAAACCATATAGATATCACACAAATAAATTATCGAACTAGCAAAATAAAACAATTCTACAGGGTATTTCAAAAGTTCGTTCCGATTGTAAATTGTATTTTGCCGCAAAGCATGTAATGTTTCTTTAGGCAAATGTAAACTGATTCATGTAAGAAATTTATCTAAATAACCGTAAAAAGCAATTTCAAACTAAAATTTGAAGAAATTATAATGTTTTTGAAGTTTTGCCCCAAATGTGAACGTACGCGAGTTTTTTCCCGCCATATTTTGCCTGCCCATTTTGTAGGTTTTCTATTTTCGTTTTTTTTTCCGTTTTCTTCAATTTTCTCCACTCTGTCACGAAAATGAAGGCCTACACTGTTTGCGCTAAGGCTAAGGCATCTATTTTTTTGGTTCTCTGGCCATTCAGTCAAAGAAATTGTTAAACTGTTGACTGAAGTCTAAATGATATAAGTGCACCAGTGATCCAAAGTAAAAGACTTTAGAAGGCAAACCAAGGAGTGTATAGCCGTCTTTTTTAAAATGTGTGAGAAATGTTATCGAAAAAGATGTAAGTATATGCGTAATAAGTTTGCAAGGCAGAGAGGTAGCAAAAAACTTCAACTTCACAATATCAAAGTTTCGAGCACAACGGTATGAATATATATGAAAAGCAAGGGTTAGAAAGCCTTGAAGAGAAAAAGGCGGCGAACATGCAGACATGGTGTCAGAAGGATTTGGAAACTTTATAGCAAGGGAGACCGGCTAGCAAACTCACATGATGTGAACCCTCTGGAGACAATCTGGATTATCATTGACGAGAAAACATACAAAGAACCAGCCCCCAAATCACTGGACGAGCTAAGGCAGTGACTACGCTTCGCCTGGAAACGTGTGCCTGTAGACACATTTTGGGAGCTCGTACATTCTATACGTCACCACTTAGAAAATGTCAGAAAACATAAAGAAAGACATTCTGGTTAGCGATATTTCGGTTATTCAATGTTAAATGAATAATGAATGACATACTAAGTTTTACGAAAGGTATGTTTAATAATTAGTGAAATTTGAGCGAAGAAAAAATCGGAACGAACTTCTGAAACACCCTGCACATGTTTTCTTTTCTGGCTATCTTACAAATTCTAGTTATGAGGAGATTAAATAGAAGAAATAATTTAATTTTTTCTACGCTTGCGAGCGGGCGGAATCCTTTAAATCCTGCAATCTGATTGGTTCCAAGAGCGGGTGATTTTTTACGATCTTGCCCGCTAACCCGGGCGGAATCGTTGGCAGCTTCATTCACAAGTTTCTTTTCTTTGTTTTTGAATGAGCAGAAACCGTAATTTTTAAGCCATTTTTCTTTTAAAACTTGCGCTATTATTGACATTAGCTAGGGAAAAGTGAATTTTACGCGCGTCCTGGTTTTCATGCACCCGTGTCATTTCTTTGACATCTGTCGCCCAACATTCGCCCTTGTGTATCTTGTTCCATAGCGTGCAGCAGGTCATGCTATAGATAACGTTTGAAAAGGTAAATGCGTGCAGCCGAAAATCTTTTCCACATTGTAAATGAAAGGGCAAGTTTTGCATTGCATGCGTGCTTATTTGAAAGTCCAAGGTTGATCTTCAGCCTCAAAAGCGCTTAAAACTAGAAAGCTGTCTGTCACGTTAAAATAAAACAAGTACATAGTGGTTGCCAAAAGATTCTCTTACTTTCAGGGTCGGGATTTCGTAGCATTTTGTAGTTTGTGTGTGAAACCGGGATAAAACTATGACAATTTTAAAAATAACTGAAATTAAAAAAAAAACAAACAAACAAACAAAACAAAAATTTTAAAACACAAGAGTCCATACTGAAAATAAGAAAACATTAGGCTAATTAATCTTAGGTGAAAAAGGAAATACACTTACAATTTAGTGGTTGTAGTTGGAATGCAATTCCAATTATGTGTTATGTGGCTTTTATCACAGTTGTGTTCGTTAGTAACTTTGCCAGAACTTGTTATCGAACCTGTACTGTGACACAAATGATTGCAATCTGAAAAATGAATGGACGCAAGAATAAGACAATTGGTAGAGGGAAGTTTTCAAGAAAGCGGTACATTCCGATATATAAATTAATACAGTATTAATAGACAATAACGAATTTTCATTTTTACTCATTGATTAAGGGTCAGGCCCATAGAGAGGGGGGATGCGACGGATGCGCTCCCAACCCCCGTCCACACAGGGCCCAGAGGTCCACTTATTTTCTGTTGACCACCCCCTCCCCGCTCTTTTACTCCCTCCATTTTATGCGCGGTCTTTGACTCTCGCTCCTCGTTCTTTGCTCCGAAATCGCACGGAAACGCTTTCTGCGCAGGCTACTTAGAGGAGCCACTGATGGGCTCCTGCCAATCACAAGGGCTGGATCTTGGATCCTTTTTCTCTTTAAGGTATGCATTGTTCCTTTTTTCTGTAGCCCTTTTTCTTTGAGGATAGTTTAAAATATCAGCTGTTTTCTGTGGCCAAAAATTAGTATTCGCGGCACAACAAAGGCTCTCTCCACTGACTAATAAACGCATCCACTATGTAACATACATTGATCTGAAAGAAGTCTTTGATTGATCTGTTTCTAACAAACACCCAAGAAATTTTGAGCTTGGTACACTATTAAAAGATCATGATTAAAACATCATGCGTAAAACCTAGCGAATAGTACGGACTTACAACTTTCTTTTTTATTTTTTTTTCTCTTTAAATAGCGACATCCCGTCACTATAAAAAATTGTAAAATAAAGTACTCTATTTGAAAAAATTACTTTTGAAGATTAAAAGTGTGAGAAATACCCAGTTTTTCAAAATGCTCCAAATGAGGTCTCAGGCAACCTAATTCTCCCCACCCCAGAGACTTGCGCCCGTGGCAACGTTTGGTCCGTCTCCTCGTTGGATCGCACCTCCCCGTAAAAAATTCTGGCTACAGGCCTGAGGGTGAAATCCAAATTTCCAGTGTTTGGTAAATCCTCATTGTTTACAAACTTTAATTCATACAAATTACCCGTGTTCAAAACAATGGTGAAACATGCAAAAGCAAGTCGTCTAAAACTCTTTACATTCATTTTTCACCGAATGAACTGAATCATCAATGGATAAGATAAGGACGGAAGTCAACACAACTGTTTGTGCGCACTACTATTAATAGTTGTTTATTGCAAAATGCCTCATCTACATTGAATGAAATTTAACAGCATTGAATCCTTACCCAGAAAGGTTACTTCAACCGTTTTTGAGTCAGTTCCTTCTTCATTTTCTGCTAGTAGAGTGTAGTTGCCCGTCCGATTTAGCTCGATCCCTTTTATTATGTAAACACCCTTCAAAGGTGTTGATGTATTCACTAATGTCGAGTTAATCGGTGGAGTACCTTCCAGTAGAAACCAGATATAATGTCCTGGTACAGATCTTACTACTGGTAACGGTAGCCTTATCCTCGGCTTCTCTGAAAATGAACATTAAGCAAGTTTCTAAGCTGTCCCGATCTCATGTCATATCACGCTGCAAATAAAATTTGAGTTGCTTAAACCTACTTAAATAATACTCCACAAATTGTAGATAACTTTATACTCTCCTGTAGAGCACCACGCTAAGCGATACTATATATGACATATCTCATATTTTAATAAAACGTCCCACTTCACACAGGAATCAAACAACTTATAGTCAATAGGAAGAACAGTGAAAATACAGAGAAGCCGTCTTTATGATGTTAATTACTTGATTTGAATCGCGTTATCAAATAGTTCGCATAAAACTAAGCGTTTGAATTATAAACTGATGAGCCGTCAGTTTTCCTGAACTGCCAATAGGGATTTTAGTCTGCCATAAAATTCTAGTCCCATAACTTCCCAGGAGGTTTTTGAGAACAGTGGAGCACTTCAGTCCATGGGTTTGTTGACATGACGGCGTTTACACTGTAGTCAATGTTTGATGTATGAGCTGTTTAAGCACCTCGAAGTAAGGTAATAAGTGTCGTTGAATCGAATGATATATTTTGGTTATTTTGATTACAGTTTCTTATTGCTGAAAAACAAAAGCTGATATTAAAGAAGCCTATAGTAATACTTGACACTTCAACCTGAAAGCAAAAGCTCCCTTGGTATGCTAAATTTCCACTAAAACTCTCGCGTTTTAAATTTTTCTTTTGCTTATACAAATTTAACGAGACCGTTAAAGGGAGGATTTAAGTGTCACTGATTAAGAGGGAGTAACATCTTAAGTGTTTTACTTTATTATTATAATTTTTGTCTCTAGAAAAAATAAATATATAAATAAAACTTCATGATTTGTAGGGTCTACGTTACTATGCAGCCCTCGCCATTCCCGCGTTCTCTTCATTCCCCAGTCCACCACATTCCACAGTGAGTATCATTTTTGACTCCAGATTACTTACCGCGGTTCTTTGCACGTCCATATAATTACATTACATTCCTTATGTCAATAAATAACAAGTCTCATGCATAACATCTTTGTCACTTGCTTTAAATTAAACTAACCGAAAAGTATAAGACAATGTATAAAAGGACTAGTTTCAAACTTAAAAGATAACTTGGTCACCATGTCATTATTTTTTAAATGTTTAGTTAGAGTGATAATCTTTTTACCTATTTATTTATTTATTTATGCATTTTTTTGATGACTAGTCTATAAAATATTTCTCTCAGTTTTTTCTAGGCTTTCCTGTTCGTGAAGTACTGACCTTTGTCAGACTTGGCACAATCAGAAGAACACTTTACATATAACTTTATTAATTTACTTGGGGATTTGAAAAATTATTACTACAGCTTTTGAGACTGTTTCTGCTTTTGACAGTTGCGCCTCCAAGAGTATATTATGAGGAGCTAATTAACATTCTTATGCTTTGTTATTAAAACTTACTATCGCTAACCTTTTTTTTGACTTGTATAATAAGTTCCTTTAAAGTTACACGGGGTGGAGACAGAGTCTCTTTGTAAAGCCACCATCATGAATCGACCACTTGTTTGTATGATTAAGGGCTGTCTTGCCCCTGAAAAAATTCCCAGTATGGTATCATTTTTCCTTTTTCCGTCATGCACCTGGATTCTTGCTTGATTCCGCCGGGAATCAGTAGATAGACTAAATATCATAAGTTTCAGTTTGACGGTGTGGTTAGATGGTGCAGTGATGATCCAGCTACAATGCTTATAGTTCTTAGTGCCACTGGAGCTGATGAACCCACTGGAGCCATTAACAGAAAACGAACACGGTAAAGTGTGAACAACTGCAAATAAATGTGCGAAAATCAATGTAAAAAACTTTACTCGCTTGACAGGCTAACTTGTGACACTAAAAATCTTATTAAATAATGAAGATTCTCTTCAGTTCCCTAGCACCAGCAGATAATTGATTTTTGTTCGCTAGTATATCGGCTGATGATGTCTTGCAAAGTCATCTCATGATCGATCGTATTCTTAGGTATTTTGATTCTGTAATCGTGAGCTCTATTAACTACAGTCATTCACGACAAGCACATCGCAAAAATGACTTCAGAATGCCTAATTTGCAACGTTTGTTTGACTTTTGTCACTTTTCTCATTTTAATGAGTCAGAAAAATCTTATATTTTTATGACAGAAGACAAACAAATGAGAGGAACTCGTTAAAGCTAATTTCTTTTAGTTTGTCTGAGTGTCGGCTCTATAAAAAGTAACGCCATGGGTAACGAGAAAGAAAACAATGCAGAAAGACAAAGGAATTCAGTAAAGAAAGGGACGAGTAATCAATGCATTTTATTTGGTTGGCAACAATAGAGACTCACAAAGAGCCAATCAAACGCAACCGCTGAGAACAAAATATCCACTCTCCGCTCATAGTTACATTTGAATGCATATTATTTGTTGACGTTGTGTTTTCAGGATAAGGGGAATTAATTTACTATGATTTAAATGATTAAGGAAGTTTTGATTGATTGTGCTTTACCCTTTGGTGACGGCCGACGAGTAGAGAAAAACAGCATTATTTCTTACCAGTTCCTCTTCTTTGGACTGGTTTTCGGCTTATTAGCATAAGAGTGCAACAAAAGAAGCATATTTTCCGACTACTTGGAAGTAAATAAACAGCTTTTTTGTTTTTCACGCATGCCCACTAGCCTAAATTTGAATATTTTTTCCGAATGTATTTCGATCTTTCTCTCGCGCTCTCTTTTTTTCCTTTGCCTTTCTTTTTTATGAACAGTTTTGTGGCCCACTTTATCCTCTTTCTTTTGCCTGGAATTGTGGCTAACGAACTTTTTAGAAAAGGGACAGTAGTCATAGAAGGATGAAATTAAGCCTCGTTGGTGTCTTCCACTGTCTTCCCTTTTATTAATATGCATAACTGTCTTCTTCCATACCAATAACTGTCTTTCTCCATATACAGCTGTTTTGAGAAAGGTTGTCGGAAAAAGTGCCAAGACAATCCCGAAAGGTATTGTGGGTGGTTTTGTCTGCCCTGTTCTCCAAAGAAATTGGAAAGAATGGCACGAGAGGCCACGGACATATGTTCGCGAGTGCTAATGGAAAGCAACCAAAGTAGGTTCGACAGCTACAGTCGTTAGGAACAGTGTATTGATCATATCCCATATTACCTTTCGGCGTTGTCGCGTGCACAAAATTTTCGACCTTTCTCGAAATAGCTGTATATAATGAAGTGGATAGTCGTTTCTTGAAAGAACACAATAGGCACAATAGGCTTGCCTAGACTTGCCCGGTAAGTAACTTGAGCCTGGTTTGAATGTCTATTAAAAAGAATAAGAGAAGCTATCAGCTAGCAACGCGAGAAACGGCTTCCTATATCTTATTTAGCGCTAAAACTCGCATATAAATAAACAAAATACATTCACAAAGTAGAGCTGAAAACTCTTCATTTCAAGTTTATTTGACTCTTGAAAAACCTTTTTCTCCTATCTATCTCCAGGAAATGAAAAACTATTACAGTCTTGTCATTTTCACGCACCGTTAGTCAGTTGATTATGCGAGTTCGTAAGCCCAAAGTTGAATACAAATTAGCTCTACAAGAAAGACCCAAGGGAGCATCTTGACGTATTATTATAAATTTAAAGCAATTTGAAATAAATTAGCCATAGAAATAGAGAATTTTCAGTTCTACTTTGTGTATGTGTTTTGTTTATATATATTACGCTCATTAGTAAGCCTATACCGAATTAGTATGCAGGAAGACACTGACTAGACACTTACTTAATATGGAGGAATACAGTTATTAGCATGGAGGAACGCACTTAATTAATATGGAGGAAGACAGTTATTAGTATGCAGGAAGACCCTCGTTAGTATGGAGGAAGACAGGGGAAGACACCAACGAGGATTAATTCCATCTCTCTATGGCTACTAGGGACAAATTTAATCTTCAAAGAGTAGTAGGTAAACTAAAAAAATGTTAAAAATGTTTCCTTAAAATGTTACCTTTTTGCGAATGTAACTCTGTTAAAATTAGTCAGAATATCCAAAACGAGGTATCGCTGGAAAGATCTATCTTTGCTGACGTTGTTGCTTACCAATTTATTAACTTAAACCGAAAGCTAAATGGGTCTAGGAAGGAAAATATACATCGTTCCATGTGGAAAGAAGCTTGTTTGGTTTACGGCAAGGTCATGAAAGGTAGGCTAGTAAGGAAAGACTCGCTGTTTAGTAATTGGAGCTATTTAAATGGACTGAGTAACCCGTCCTAGATCATCTTTCAACTTTTTGAAGGAAACAATAAAAAAAGTTAGTAATAGGTAAAGATTGGATGAAAATGAAATATGGTTTATGTTTGATAGATTTCCCAGACGGATTATGGTAGCGGCTGGTCTACATGCTACAAGCACACTTGGAGTAATGTTGTTAAATGTAATCAGTGTATAACAACAATTTCTGCATTTCGATTGGCGTAGAACATGTCAATTTATACCAACACTTTGCTTGTCAACCACACACTAATTCGAGCACGTCTATTATCAAATGCACTCAAACTCATGTGATTGCCCATACAAACACGTCAGTTTTGATGACTTATTTTGTTTTAGACTACAAGCTACTTTATTGCTACATAACAAAGAGAAAAAACATACGAGAGGACGATACAAACAAATCATAATTTTACTTGCCTTCAACTGTCCACACTGACACCAAAATTAATCCAAGGAAAATTCTTCCTTGCATTGACATCTGTAAGTAATAATAATAATGAAATTGAGATGGTGGTCGTTTAAAGTAGACCTGATTTGCATCATGTGAGTATAGCCGTTGTATCTGCCCGTTGGATTTTTTTTTTACTTTTCTTGAGCTTGAAAACAATAACAAATTTTAATCGGCAAATGCAAAAGCCTTAAATGAGTGCTACTAATCAATCCACCCCCCACCTGTTCTTGGCGCATCACTGATGTTGACTCTCTCGCAACAAAGTAAACAAAGTACTAAGTAGTAACAAAGTGCCTGTTACTAGCTCATTAAAGTTAGTTTTAATGATGGTCATGAGCTCGGAAAATTTCTCATTTGGTTTGGCTGTCTAATGAAAATAACGAATAATGACAAATATATAAAAATTTAGTGGTAGCACATCCACATTATGTTTAGTGATTCCTCGTCTACTATTCCTGATTAAACTGGAATTAAATTGGAAAACCTCTCGGGACAAAGGAAAGAACCAACAACAAACTCAACCGCATATGGCGTCGACGCTGGGATTTGAACCCAGGCTAAATTAATGGAAAGCCAGCACCCTTGCTATTAACATACTCAAAAGGTAATGGCGGAAAAGATTGCAACGGACAAGAAAGGACCGAGTTAGGGAAGCATTATCAGAAAAGTGATGGGGGGAAGGGGGGGGGGGGGTTGTAAGTCAATATGAGGGGAAACAATTGTGCAGACCTTTCCAAGCAGTCAAGAACATTTCTCTCCACCCTTCTTTTAAAACTTCAGTCACTGGAAGTAAAGTAGCTCACCAACTCTTTTTAAATGGGAAATTGGTAACAAATTTCATATTGGATGGTAAGAAACACAGCGAAAGACTTGGCTTCAAAAAGCTTTCAACGACGAAGTGTTGGAAATCAGTATATCAAGCGCTTATATTCCGAATGCAACGGACCGACAGGGAAAGAAAGACTAATCCCTGAGCTGTAGATATTCTTAAGCGCGAGAAATTCTGCTCTATACCCGGTTCAAGAAACAGAACACTTCAGTCACTTTTCCATATGTTCACATAATTCTTTATTCGACTTGTTTCAGTGCCCCACGAGAGGTAGCACCTGGAATTTACAGAACAACAGGCAAGTTCAAGTTGATCCTTGTCCAGATCTTCTCCTATGTCACGTACTCTGGCTGACCAGCGACGTTCAACGGGTGTCATTGAGTGGATAAACTACGTTCCCCTTCTGCTCACTTGGAGTACGCGCACCTGTCCATCCTGACCCGGGAAAACTTCTACCATTCCACGTGGAACATTCTGATCACAACGAGCACGAACTCTCCACCTTTCAGATTCTCCTTCGCCGCTCTCCATTTCGGTCGGGTGTTAAGTATTGCCAAAAACTCCTCTCTCCAGCTCCTTCAGAACACTTTCACCTAGTTCTAAATAAGTCTCTAAAGGTTCCTGGGACTAAACGCCATATCATCAGTAATTTGAGGTACTAGTTGTCCTCCGAGCTGTCCAACTAAGAAATGGTTAGGAGTGAACACTGTCTCGTCTCGAGGGCAGCTCCTTCATACGTCAATGGTCTCGGCTTTATTAAGTTTATTCTACTCTTTTTAGCAGTTTGCAGTTCTTCGTCGCATTGGCTAGTCCCGCATTTCCAACTGTTACCTTCAGAGTTTTCTTAGCTACTTTCACCTGCGACTCAAACATCCCATTGAAGTGAATCCCCAACAGAGGATTCCAATTCCATCTGATCCCGTTGCTGGGAGTATTATCTTCGATCTGCACTTGGTCTCTTTGCTTTAAAAAGTTCTCTGAGCTCTCTCTCCACTCCTACAAAGTTTGTCGCATTATCACTTGTGATTTCGTACGGTCTTCTTCGGTCCCCTAGTAGCTACCATTCGGCTGGACGCATTCAGGAAATCTGTACCGCTCTGCTTGGAGAGCAAGTAAAAAGGCTTAGATATTTTTTTTAAGCA